GAGACACGGCAGAGGATTTGTAAAACCAATTAGATGTATTTTTTTTTAATATTCCAACCTATGGCAATATCAGCAAAACTAAAATCACGGTATTTGGAAGAAAAAGAATTCCTGATGACTTTAATTTTACATACAACGGTACTGTTATAGAAATAGCCAAGGATTTTAAATATCTTGGGGTTCATTTTACTAGAACTGGTTTGACACGATTTAATATCAAACAACTGTACGTAAGAGCAATGTATGGTGCTTTTTTCCAAATGTAGGGATCATAATCTTTCAATAGATTGTCAATTAGACATACTTGACAAAGCCATCAGACCTAATGTTTTATATGGATGTGAAGTATGGGGTTTCTGTGACTATAAACTTATCGAACGTTTAAAAAAAATGCAAACCCATACTTAATGTTCAAACGTCTACCCCGAACTTTATGATATACGGATAATTTGGAATGTTTGCGCTAGATATTAATGTCAAAGTAAGAATGGTCGAATTTTGGGCTAAACTGACAAAAACAACCAGAATAAATAAAGTAACAAACCTTTAGCAATTTTATCAAATCATGAATTATCGTGGCTAAAATATGTGAAAAGAATATTTGAAAAATGAAATTTGATAAGATATTCAATATTTAATGGTTTTTCCAAGTATACATTGGCTAAAGAGTACCATATTTTATAAACTACATTGTAAAACGAAATTTATATATCAAACTGGAGAAATGAAATTTGTACTTCCCCGAAAGGAATCAATTATAGAATATAAGTACAAACTTTGTTTAGAAACGTTCTTACTAGAACTCCCTCCGAAACTAGCCAAAGCGAATGATAAATTCAGAACATGTAATACTACGTTATCAATTGCAAATGGTAGGTGTTCCAATACACCACATGCAAATAGATTATGTAATATATGTAATTTAAGAGAAATTGGCGACGAATTCCATTATCTGTTTAACTGTACACAACAACCAATACTCAATAGTAGACGAAAATATGTCCAGATATTATTATGAAAGACCAAATATATTCAAATTTCATACACTATTCAATTATGTAGCACAAGATGAATTGACATCATTGGCTAAATTTATTACCAATATTAATGACATAATTAATTTATAATACTAATGTCCATCCTGTTCCATCATGTATTATTGTCACCCATTTGTATATATGCATTCACAACACTGTATTGTTAATGATAATAAAACAATGTTCATTGTCATTGTCATTGGACATACAAGGATTGCCTAATCATTGACTCAAGATCAGGTATAGCCCCGAGGTGACCACAGGTGATTAGTTAATTGGTGGTCTCAGTTATCTCACACTGAAAAGATATATCTAGTTAATACACACAATGTAAAAGAACTGAATTTGTTAGGTAAATTTATTATTGAAGCTAACAAACGAAGGAATGTTTAACATACAAGTTTGTTTTACCTAATTTTGTATTACTCAATCGTATCATGTCCATGTTTTGTTCGAATAATCTTTCATGTTTAAGATGGTAAATAATCAATGCTGTTGTTTTTTTAAAAATGCTGTGTACATGCCAATTGGATTAAAACATTATTCCGGAATGTATTTTGTTCTTGATTCAGATTGTTTGTATAATTTAGTACCTGTAAAACAAAAAACGATTTAAACTTTATTTAGTTTACTACATGTATGTACAATCTTTATAATGTGAGCTTTTTGTTATTTTCTTTTTCTCAAATTTTCTGACACTTTTTGGTAATTTTCCATGCAAATTTATTGAAATATGATTTACTGATACTCAGGCAGAAATTTATAACTTTAATCAGATTTGAAAAGGTCTAAGTCAAGACTGTACCGTTATATATAAAATATAGACAGGTGATCACACAGGAAGTATGGCCAACACAGAGTCACTCAGGAAGTATGGCCAACATAGACAGGTGATCACACAGGAAGTATGGACAACATAGACAGGTGATCACTCAGGAAGTATGGCCAACAGAGACAGGGAAACACACAGGAAGTATGGCCAACATAGACAGGTGATCACAAATGACGTATGGCCAACATAGACAGGGGATCACACTGGGAGTATGGCCAACACAGACAGGTGATCACTCAGGAGGTATGGCCAACATAGACAGGTGATCAAAAGAAAGGTATGGCCAACATAGAACAGTTGATCACACAGGAAGTATGGCCAACATAGACAGGTGATCACACAGGAAGTATGGCCAACATAGACAGGTGATCAAAAGAAAGGTATGGCCAACATAAAACAGTTGATCACACAGGAAGTATGGCCAACATAGGCAGGTGATCACAAGAAAGGTATGGCCAACATAGACAGGTGATCACACATGAAGTATGGCCAACATAGACAGATTATCACTCAGGAGGTATGGCCAACATAGACAGATGATCACACAGGAAGTATGGCCAACATAGACAGGTGATTACAAGAAAGGTATGGCCAACATAGACAGGTGATCACACAGGAAGTATGGCCAACATAGACAGATGATCACTCAGGAGGTATGGCCAACATAGACAGATGATCACACAGGAAGTATGGCCAACATAGACAGGTGAACACACAGGAAGTATGGCCAACACAGACAGGTGATCACTCAGGAGGTTTGGTCACCATTGCCAGGTGATAACACACGATGTATGGTCAGTATAGACAGGTGATCACAAAATAGATATTTCTCAAACAGACAGGTGATCACTCAGAGCTATGGTCCTATTGACAGGTTTTCTCAATTAGACAGGTTATCATACACGACGTATGGTCACCTTAGTCAGGTGATCACACACGATGCATTGTCAGCATAGACAGGTGATCACAAAAGAGCTATTATGGCATAAGACATCTTTCTCAAATAGACATGTGATAACACGCGATGTATGGTCATCATATACTGGTTATCAAGTCAACATACACAGGTGATCACGAAATACGTATGGTCACTATAGTCAGGTGATTACCAAAAAGCGATGATCACATCAAAAGGCGTTCTCAAATAGACATATGATTACAAAAATGATATGGTCACCCTAGACAGGTAATCACATCAAGCAATGATCAAATTGATGGTTCTCATATACAGGTGATCCCACAAGAGGTATTGTCATCATTTACAAACGATTTAGTTTATTCAATGTATGTTAAATATAAAGTCGGCATCAGTTCCGCGCTATCACAGGGAGACAAACACGAACATATCGCAGCCTCCCAAAACACATACGTATATACTACACGCATGCATCTTGCACACAGGGGCGGCCGTCCTTAAATGACCAATCAACATAGACAGGTGATCACACAAGATGTATGGTTATCATAGACATGTGATCATACAAGAGGTATGGTCACCATTGTCATTAATTTAATCATTGGAAATCATATTTAAGATTCGATAAGGTATAGAAATCTCCGTGGTCATACATTCCTCTGATGTTTCCAATTAGCATTCCAAACATATTTGAATTGATAAGGCCTTTTCGACCGGAGAGTATTTTCTTTAGGTAATTTATTTGTGTCACGGTATTTTATAAAAAAAAATTGTGTCATACTAACATCGGGACACATTTATTTTAATTAATGTTTTTGTGTTATGCTGTTTCTTTATTTTGTGTCATGCTAATTGCATGACACATTTATTTTGCTCTATTTTTGTGTCAGGCTGCTATAGGCCATCGTACTGGATGAGACTGCAGTCAGTTTCATCGGCAGCTACCTCAGTGGCAGACTGCAGCGGATTAGACTTGAACCTGATGTCAACAACTGGCAGCTGCTGAGGAAGGGAGTCCCCCAGGGGTCAATTGTCGGCCCACTGATTTTTATTTTTACGTTACTAAAAGACCATTTTGTACAATTATGCTGATGACAATACCCGTTCATATAATACCTGTTCTTTAAACATTAAACTTACACTAGAAAAAGAAAGATTTTTTTTATTAAACTGGTTTTCAGCAAATGGTATGAAAGCAAATCCTAGTAAATTTCAGGCCATATGTACAGGGGGAAACACCGGTGACAACAGTAAATCCTTTTCTATTGGAGACTAGGTTATTGATTGTAAAAATAATGTTACTCTGCTAGGTGTGGAGATTGACTCTGTATTAATATTGATGACCATGTATCTAAGATCTGAAGAAAGGCCTCCAAACAATTAGCTATTTTGAAAAGAGTTTGAAATAGTCTTACCAAAAAGGGAAAGATCACCGTTTTTAAATCTTTCATTTCATCGAATTTTAATTACTGTCCCCTAGCCTGGCATTGTCGTAGCCTCAGCAAATATCTTAGAGGAAGAAAAACACTACCAACGGTATTGGATAAGTGATGTCACGTTTAGCTGAAGTTAAATCAATCAGTTTATTGGATAAGTGATGTCACGTTAAGCTGATGTTAAATGAATCAGTATATTAGATAAGTGATGTCACGTTTAGCTGATGTTAAATGAATCAGTACATTGGACAAGTGATGTCACGTTAAGCTGATGTTAAATGAATCAGTATATTGGATAAGAGATGTCACGTTAAGCTGATGTTAAATGAATCAGTATATTGGATAAGAGATGTCACGTTAAGCTGATGTTAAATAAATCAGTATATTACATAAGTGATGTCACGTTAAGCTGATGTTAAATGAATCAGTATATTGGATAAGTGATGTCACGTTCAGCTGAAGTTAAATTAATCAGTATATTGGATAAGCGACGTCACGTTAAGCTGGTGTTAAATAACTCGGTATATTAGATAAGCGATGTCACGTTAAGCTGCTGTTAAATGAATCAGTATATAAAATAAGTGATGTCACGTTAAGCTGATGTTAAATGAATCAGTATATTAGATAAGTGATGTCACGTAAACCTGATGTTAAATGAATCATTATATTGGATAAGTGACGTCAGGTTAAGCTGATATTAAATGAATCAGTTTATTTTTGTCACCAGGTAAAATTATACAAAAAAACTACTCTCTAAGAATAATAAAGAACCGTTCGGTTCAATTGCTTTATTTCTCCAAATATCATTACAATTTTTCTAACTCCCAACTTATTGGATAAACCTGATATAATTTGATTTGTTTAGGTCTATCTCTGATGTCAAGTAACAATGCATTCCGACATCATTTATGACGTCAAAATTCATAGCAATTATTTCCCCGATCGCACAAAGGAGCAATGCATTCTCATGAAAAACATATGATTTTGTAGAAATATCCGAACGTTATGAGAAAGAAAAAATCCCGGAAATGCTAAGTTAATTTTCAGATTGTAAGCGACACTCGGTAAACCTTATAAACACTAAAACCAACCATCACGCATTGAGAAACCACTATTTTGTTCAATTAACTTTAAATTAAGTTAATATTAGCTCAATAAGTCGAACTGCAGGTACAAGAAACGTAAACTGTTTTTATTAAAATTTTAATGTCACTTAGAGCTCTTTCTGAAACCAATAATTACAACAAATACGAAGTTTTAAAATTGTATCTCGTTGATACAGAGATACAACCATAGAAAGCAATGTTACTGCACTAGATATAATGTAAGGTTAAACATGTGTGCATTGTAAGGTAGTTGGTAGTCCCTATTGTGATCTGATGTCCCTATTGTGATCAGATGTCCCTATTGTGATCTGATGTACCTATTGAGAATTGATGTCCCTATTGTGATCTGATGTCCCTATTGAGAATTGATGTCCCTTTTGTGATCTGATGTTCCTATTGTGATATGTTGTCTCTATTGTGATCTGATGTCCCTATTGTGAATTGCTTTCCCTATTGTGATCTGATGGCACTATTGTGATATGATGTCCCTATTGTGATCTGATGTCCCTATTGTGATCTGATGTCCCTATTGTGATCTGATGGCACTATTATAATATGATGTCCCTATTGTGATATGATGTCCCTATTGTGATCTGATGTCCCTATTGTGAATTGTTGTCCATATTGTGATCTGATGACACTATTGTGATATGATGTCCCTATTGTGATCTGATGTCCCTATTGTGAGATGTTGTCCCTATGGTGATCTAATGACACTATTGTGATATGATATCCATACTGTGATCAGATGTCCCTACTGCAACACTTGGGATATAAGTCTCTCCTCCACTTCCCCACTCTTTTTTTCATCGGTGTCTCCATATCTTCCCGTCTCTTTATTACCTTAGTTCTTACAAGGATGTTAAACCAGAAACAAAACACTCGATAGCATCCTCATAATCGTTATGATGGTAGCGAAACTTTGCCTTACTTGAGGCTATTCTCCCAAGCTGTATTAAAGACCTAGGACATCACTACAAATGTGTTACTGCACACCATATAGTTAGCTACTACTGCAGGTTGACGCTGATATAGGCTTAAATCAAGAACGTAGCTAAACAAACCTATTTTGAGTACTAGAAATACTTTCCGTTTTATTGACTTTATTGTGATGTTTAAACAAAATCGTAGTTATTTCCTTCAAGTTGTAAAGAAATCACATGTTAACCTATTGTATTTGTATACTGTAAATAAATCACATGTTAACCTATTGTATTTGTATACTGTAAATACATACAAATCAGTGTTATCGTTTAACTTCGATGTTGTAGCACTTTCCATTCAAACACATTGCTTTTATTTATTTAAACCATGTCGTATTTCTACATTTTAACATGTTCGTTGTTATTTAAGAATACAACAAAACTCACTGTGTTGTAGTCAATGTACTAAAGTGTTTCCTTTTGAGACCTACAAATTAAAGGACAGCCACATTTTATTGTAATCAGTAAAACCTGTTGTCTAATTTGTCTTCACAAACTAGATCCCGGCATCCTCTGTTCGTCATAGAGTAGTCTTAGAGCGCAGAAAGGCTTCCAGTTTCGGAGGTTCATTCAGTGCCTGTTAATACAACAGTGAGAAAACAGAACAGTAGCAAATGTACAGTGCTCATCCAGTATTGACGTCTAAGTAATTTGAAAATATAAAGTTAACTGTGAGTCATTAAGATTTTGCGAGTTTTATATGTCGCTATCATTTTTGTGTGGTAGTCAACATTAAATTTGAAAATCTCGAGAGCATACAGCAAAATACAGTTGTAAAGAATTAAATGGACTTTACCCAGGAAGTAACATTGTAGAAACACTGTGACAGCGTTAAATAGCGAATGAGATATAGAAATTTCATGGTTTTGAATTTTTACAATGATAAGAATAACATTTGGCAAGATAATACAAAAAGGTACAAATATGTACAAAATTGTCCCAACAAGCTTATGTTTATACAGTTATGATTGACTACTATCACTCGTAAAAAGAAATTCTGCCTCTCTCATCCCGTTGTTGTGTATTGTACTTTTTCAACCAGAGTTTCCTCCCTTCTATTATTTTTATCAAGCTTTTATATAAAGATTAAATGTTGACTTAGATACTTAAGTCGTTCCAATTACTTGCAAACATATAAAAGTTCGCGAATACGTATATTGTAATTTTTGAGACAGATTGTATCGTTACATTTCATTACCTCTACAACATATTTCTTTTTCTGTCGTGTGCCGTTTTTGGCAGTCTGTGCCCTTCGTGTAGACCGTGTCTCTTTTGAACTCCCCTCTGTTTGTCCTCCCCCTCCCCGACTGCGATGTTTCCAATCCTTCATTTGTTTCTCGAGTTCCATCAATACCCGGGTACTAGTCTCCAACTCAGGAAGGAAGCTGTCAAGGCCCATATAATGTATATCTAGCACTTTCATTAATTTAACAAGGCCCTGGTCATGTTTTTCGAGCCGTGAGTACTCATAAAATCCATAATACAGAAATTCTTTGTCACCGTTTCCTGTGCGTCGTTTGTGCTTCGATTTCAAGAGTTTTAGTGACTCTGTATCACGAAGTTTGATTGTGAGATATTTCAGAAAAGGTGCGTACGCATCCGAGAGCTGTGATCGGTGAATGTACAAAAATAGTCTCATACACAATGTGTCTTTCAACATGTCAACAGCTCGAGCTGCTGAACGGCGATGGAATAAGCGTTGGTAGTTAGCTTTACTGAGAACAAGTATTTCGGAACTTCTCGTCACTGTACATGTCTCTATAAACGTAGGAAGTCCAATGACTAGCTCCAAAGCTCCTGCGGTAAACAATATATGCAGTGAGATATTCAAGTAATACGATCACTCTTTGATAAAAGTAGTTCATCTAATGAGTGTGGATAGTAGGTAAACAATTGGTAGTTTGACTGCGAATGAGTGCCTATCATAATATGCAAACAAATGTATACTATAGTTTTTCCAATGCTGAATGCAGTAAAACATGCCCAAATGAAAATGTCATTGGCTAATTGTGGTGAAACAAATGACTAAATGACATGTTAATTGACGACTCCTCGGGGAAAACAAACGCCTTGTGGTGAAGCAAACATATCAACCACAATGCATGTGGGCCCCTTCCGCTTATACAATGATTTAACGAAATTTCGTATGCTTCTCGATGCAACACAAAATAATAAAGGGCACTCCTATTTGGCATGTGTATTATTATTCCTATAACAAACACTTGCTTTGGATACACGCGAGAAACAGGTAACTCACCGACAATTTCATTGGCTCCAAGGAGACACATGGGATACTGCCTGTGCGCGATTCGTTTTCTCTTCAACGTTTCGTAGGGTGAGTAGTTCATTCCGTAGTTTCTAGAATGAATTAAGAACAAAAACCTTTACAAGGAAAAAACAAAATACTGCTTGTCCTCACAACTCCTCTTCTACATAGTGTTACATGTAAGCATACAATTCGTATTGTGTTTTATCTGCATATGATAAAAATGCTTGTTTGACACACACGCACCCAAAATTACAGCAAAATTGAAAAAGTGGAAAACATAATATGGAGATAATTCGTCGGGAACAAGCCTTTCAAACCTTTCAAAAAGACGAACTCGGAGAAAATACCAAATAAAAAGAACGATAAAAGGCCCTACTCTGTCTTAAGAAAACATTTAACAGTGTAAAGACCACATATAAATCTCGATGTCGTCGACGTCAATGAAGCTTTTTTCTCAAATGTAGCTTTATCTGGAAAATCCTTATCCTTATAATACTGACCTTTAGGAAGCGTCTTTACACCGTTTAAGTAAGGGACACCATTTTATGATTAAGGTGAAGGGAAACTTAAATCTTATCAATCCTGGAAGTAGTTTCGTAAATTTTATCCCAGAGTTCGGATGACAAATTGAAGTTAAATATCAAACTATGTGAACTACGCGAGTCTGAAGAAACCTGTGCCTGCTGTGGCTTTGTTAATTCAACCTTTGTGGATAAGTGAATAGTTCTTCTGATTATCTTAAGTCTAATTTTAATGTATCTCCTAGTCCTTGAAATTCAAGATATTTACAGGCTCCTAGCTTTCATCTTCATGCCTGATATACGACTGCATCTTAACAATTACCTACAATTAACTCTTAATAACTCTGTCAAACCTGTCCATATATTATAAAAAAAGTCAGAAATGAAAAACAGTTGGTCATATAGAAAGACATTTTCATGTATCAAAAACCTTCCAGGGAATCTTTAAGGCAATTTAGAATGTTGCTAGATATATGGTGGTCTCTAAAGCACTTTGTAATCTTGGCTGGAGCTAGCTATGGTGGTCTCTAAAGTACATTGTAATCTGGACTGGAGCTAGATATATGGTGGTCTCTAAAGTACATTGTAATCTGGGCTGGAGCTAGACATATGGTGGTCTCTAAAGTACATTGTAATCTGGACTGGAGCTAGATATATGGTGGTCTCTAAAGTACATTGTAATCTGGACTGGAGCTAGAAATATGGTGGTCTCTAAAGTATATTGTTATCTGGACTGGAGCTAGACATATGGTGATTTCTAAAGTACATTGTAATCTGGGCTTGAGCTAGACATATGTTGGTCACTAAAGTACATTGTCATCTGGACTGGAGCTAGAAATTTGGTGGTCTCTAAAGTACATTGTCATCTGGACTGGAGCTAGAAATATTGTGGTCTCTAAAGTACATTGTAATCTGGGCTTGAGCTAGACATATGTTGGTCAATAAAGTACATGGTAATCTTGGCTGGAGCTAGAAATATGGTGATTTCTTAAGTACATTGTAATCTTGGCTGGAGCTAGAAATATGGTGATTTCTTAAGTGCATTGTAATCTGGACTGGAGCTAGACATATGGTGGTCTTTAAAGTACATTGTAATCTGGACTGGAGCTAGACATATGGTGGTCTCTAAAGTACATTGTAATCTGGACTGGAGCTAGAAATCTGGGGGTCTCTAAAGGACATTGTAATCTGGACAGGAGCAAGATATTTGGTGGTCTCTAAAGTACGTTGTCATCTGGACTGGAGCTAGAAATATGGTGGTCTCTAAAGGACATTGTAATCTGGACTGAAGCAAGATATTTGGTGGTCTCTAAAGTACATTGTAATCTCGGAGTTTGGATTTTAGCTAAACAGTTGAGTGGTATTTAGATCAGTTTTGACAGTAGCTAGACAGTAGAGTGTGTTCCTAGAAGCAATTGGGACTGTATCTAGACACTTAGGGGGTCTCTTAGGCAGTTTTGGCGCTAGCTAGACAGTTGAGTGGTCACTCAGGCAGTTTATAATGTGGGTGGTCTCTAGACAGTTGAATGGTCACTCAGGCAGTTTATAATGTGGGTGGTCTCTAGACAGTATTTGACATTCAGGTTGTCTCCATGCAGATTTGACCTTATTTCTGTACAGTTGGGTGGTCTGTGTGACATTTTTAACTGCCTATACTCTCACCCCAAAACAAATTGTGTCAAACATGTAAAAAAAAATACATTATTTAGGTCAAGTACATAGAATATATATCTCATTGTGTCCTTCCATCTACAGCTAAGCCGTAAAGTAAAAGCCGTAAAGTATAATTGTGTCTTGATTTAAAAGATATTCATCATATTAAACAGCGGTTTATGACGTCTTAATGGTAATCAATTTACAGACACACTTCACTGCTATTTGTATACGTGTCTGCCTATCCACACGTAAATGCTCTTTGAATACGAGACCCGTACTTGACCTGCCTTTTAGTTCCACTTTTATTTCCGAACGCCATAGTTTATATTGCTCGGCCCGGCGAGGACATTGTCCGATAAAAGTATTAAATATCTATCTATCTGCTTACCAATAGATAACTTTGTCGATTCGTATAAAACTGGACATCAAACATATTCTAGCTCTCTAAATCCGAAATCGAAATATGATAGAATCGAGAGTTTACATGAAGTCTGGTTGAGCCCAGCTGTTTTGGTGGCTATATATCCCTGTGTTATACTCACGGTGGAAGCAGTTCCGGTAATAGTCGCTCCATCTCCGCCCATAGTTCTGGATATTGATTTCTATGACTTCCCTGATCAACGATCACTTCCGCCTCTCCACTGGAAAAAATGTCAACTTTTATTTTATATTTTTAGCTCAAGAATGCTTCTTGTTCTTTGTCGCATTGCTTTAACATTGATCCGAATGTCGACTTGCGTTATTAACCTAACATAGCTTGGGAAGTTACATGTATATGAGTTCAACTAGTTTACATGACAAAGTCAATTATATTCTTACTTACAAAGAAGGTGCTATATCTGTTGTCAGTTCTATGTATTAACGTTTATATTGTTTTATTGATTTATTAATTTTCAATGATTTTTAAGTTCACCTGACAAACATCACAATCCTTTTTGAAGGCACACTTGCATTATTACATTTGTATCTCTCATCTTACATAAAACGTAGTCTCGTTTGGAGAAGCCACAATACGTGGTTTCACAGAGAGAATTCATATCAGTGAAATAAATCAAATGTCAAACTTGTAGACATTAATCAATATATAGATATAATATGGCAGGTTTAATCTATTTTCCGAAATTGGTAAATCATACTTAAAAATATACTGCCTTTATTATATAATAATCATAACTTAACCATCATCGTTATATAACCTCGTTACCGTGTGTAACATGACATCAGTACATATGTTACAATAAGTAGTTAGATTCAGAGCATAAGAGAACTAGAAAACAAGTGATCATTGTCGTACAGAAAAGCACGAAAGATTTAATGTTTCAGACCTCCTTATAAAGTAAACATTGTCCACTTCCTGTCTCTGCTTTGTAAGCCGACAACCGTACTGGAAAGTGTCGCTCTTCAATGATATCGCCATTGCTTTTCTCTGTCGGGACGTCCATTGTTCAAACAGTGGGTTGCTTTCTACAAATTCTGTCTTCTCTCGGAACTCCTTCTCCAACACGTCTCGGACTGACCGGTTGTAGAGCGCTCGGTCAATGACTAGAAGTTCTGAATTTGTGTCCACTACCACACTAGCCGTCCGTATACAGTCTTCCTTTATAAGTGCTATCTCCCCGACTGTCTGTCCGTCCCCTAAAACATATCAACAGCGATGAGGACATCACTAGACCGAAAACCCTAATTATATGATAGTTCTTTGAAAAGTATTTTTAGGTGAAAATACTTATCACAAATCAGTGCACTTTTTTTTTATCAGAAACTGATTTGATCTAATAAACAACTTCGTTGTTAGTGTTTAATGTATATAATGCTGTACATTATGTAACCATGTGATTCAATATAACTTCAACTCATGAACTCGGGACGTAAACTTTCACCGTTCGTGTTATCATATCGGTTGTATGTCTCGAAATTTTAACAGCTTCTATAGGTGCTTTAAGGTCTTGTAAACATATTTAGATATATGGATTTTCAATCGTCAAACATTAGAAACTATAATAATCACACTATTATTTGTCCCCTATGTCGTAAGCCTAAGCCGGTACGTTTGATCTAAATGGTTAAAATAAGCAAAGCGATAATTCTGTAATATGTTTAGGTATATGAAAACGTGCAAAGTTGGTTTTAAGAAGCAAACTGACCAGATGTCCACACGTGTTGTCCGAGCGCTGACCTTTCCAGTTTGACCTTTGAACAAACTCTCTCTACATGTTGACGTATCTCCTGTTCGGTTTCCTTGTCGTGGTAGACGTAAATAGATACCTTTCCCTTCAGAATGATGTATAATCTACAATCAAACGTGTCAAATATACCGATATAGAACCGAATTCAAACGAGTCAAATATACCACTATAAAACAGAATTAAAACGAGTCAAATATACCGATATAGAACCGAATTCAAACGAGTCAAATATACCGATATAGAACCGAATTCAAACTAGTCAAATAAACAGCTATAGAACAGAATTCAAACGAGTCAAATAAACAGCTATAGAACGGAATTCAAACGAGTCAAATATACCACTATAAAACAGAATTCAAACGAGTCAAATATACCGATATAGAACCGAATTCAAACGAGACAATTGTATCGCTATAGAACTGAATTCATATGGAACGGAATTCAAACGAGTCCAATATACCACTATAAAACAGAATTCAAACGAGTCAAATATACCGATATAGAACCGAATTCAAACGAGACAATTGTATCGCTATAGAACTGAATTCATATGGAACGGAATTCAAACGAGTCCAATATACCACTATAAAACAGAATTCAAACGAGTCAAATATACCGATATAGAACCGAATTCAAACGAGACAATTGTATCGCTATAGAACTGAATTCATATGGAACGGAATTCAAACGAGTCCAATATACCACTATAAAACAGAATTCAAACGAGTCAAATATACCGATATAGAACCGAATTCAAACGAGACAATTGCATCGCTATAGAACTGAATTCATATAGAACGGAATTCAAACGAATCGAATACTGTATAACATGAAATGTTCGTAACTATTGAACCACGAAAATAAATACAAACGAATTTGAATTTGTCTACTGTTTGTTAATATAGGATATCCACGAAAGATTGTACCACGAACACGATCTAAATGGCTTCAAGCCACGAAGGAAAGAACCCACGAACATTTCGTGTTATAGGGTATACCGTTGTAGAACATCTAATTAAAAGGAATCATATATACCAATTTATCGAACAGAATCAACACGCGTCAATATACCGATATAAACCAAAATTCAATTGAAGCAAATATACCAATATGGAAATGAATTCCAATGACGAAAATGCTATATAGCGGAGAATTCAAACAAATCAAATTTACCGCTATCAAACATAATTCACACGAGTTAACTATGCAGTGATAGGGGAAAATAAAAACGAACTAAAACATATCCCAATATGGCCTCTACTACAGCGAGTCAAATTTAATTCTATAGAACAGAATTCACACAACGTAGATGTATTGTTGAAGCACGTAATTTAAATATACATCTACGTAACAGTGCCCGAACCCGGTTAATACACCACTGTATGATAAATTGCAAACAAACTATTAAAGGTACATACTCTGTTATTTGTTTAGATACATTGTAAAAAAGGGAATATATTGCACATCTTTAACACCTCAGGTATAGTACCACCTAGTTGAACACTTCTTCACGTGCAATAAAAACCCATTTATGACCAGGTTTTGGTGTACCTATCTCCGTTCTCTCCTTGCTTAATGATGACGTCATCCTGCTCTTTCTTCTCGAACACACAATGACGGATGACGTCCTTGAGGATATCTGTAAAGACATCAGAAAACGTGACACATGAATATGGTTTCTTCGATTTTGAGATTGTGAACAAAATTTCCAACCGATATAACTGCACCTGGTAATATTTATCTAATTTGAAAATATTAACTACTNCCCCAAAAAAAAAAAAAAAAGATTTATGTTTAATGTTTAAGAAATCTCACTCGAGAACTGACGACTTTTAGAGAAAACAGAAATATGTTTGCCATCTGTATCAGGTTTGTCTGTTTTTTGTTAGGTAAAAGGTACCCCTGCAGCAGCTATAGTCGCGAAGAAAAGTTCTACTTGGAGATTTTGTTACTCGGAGTAATCTCCGCAATATATAGAAGATCAGGCAACAACAACCAAAGGGAAATATTCTAGCTTAGAGTACTTTGTATCAAATTATGTATCTTTCAATTTTCATTTTATTTTCATAGACGATGCGGCCCACAAAATTGTTTCTGATTTTGATGCTGTCGTGGATGGCAACATTGGTACAGAGTAGGCGTAGTGATGTAAATGTCCGGAGTTTCATTTTAGATCTATTTTTCAAACGTTCAAACTCAACTCTAATTATGTAAAATGCATCGCAATATGTGATTTTCATTGAATACTCTAATAAAAGGGACTTAAGCAAAAATCTCACAATAACGACAGTGGTAATGATACTGTATAATTTTGTTGGTACACCTTATCTTAATCATGAACGTATAAGGGAAAATACAAGGGAGCATGGGATCCAACGTCCACTAGTAAATGTTCAGTGACGTTCTACGTATTGAATGATTCCTAAATTGAATTCACTAGTCCGGCCATAAAAGTATGATATTTTTACTCATGTACCAGTCAGTGTTCATAGCAGACACTGAAATGACGACTGTATACTTTCTGCAGCGTAGATTGAAGTGTTTCCGTTAGAAGTTAGAAAACCCTATCCACGTAACGTATCTTTGTTTAAAAAAAGAGAAATTTTGGTATATAGGTCATTGACCGTATTGTATTAGAATACATTATACACGCTATTAAAACAGCACCACAATTCTAAATATAACACCACTATACTATCAGAAGGGAGGGAGTCATTCATAATGGTGTGTTATATAGCGATGGTTATCGGTAATTCAGTAAAACTCATACCGTTTTGTCATAAAGCTTTTCTTAATACAAAATATTCAAAAAATATTGACATGATTGTAAATTAAATGACAGATATTGAGCGTCCCAACCATTATTTGAATAAATTGTTATGTAATAAAACGTGAATAATACAATATTGGGAAACGGGGTTTAAAGAGATATGGTTCGCAGGTATACTTCCTGTGTATAATAATGAAAGGAAATCAAAATACTATTTTATAAATAGTTACGCTTTGATATATCGGGCAACATTACGCTCCCAGATGATTATCGGATGGCCAAACACTGCATACCGGAAACGTTTGCCCGGTCAATCTTTCCCCCTTCGACGGTGAAATCAATATTCACCCAATGTTAATTTCGCCCTTTACATTGAAATACAATATGAATTGTTATTGTTATATATATGTTACCTACCAAAATTATGACAAATGACAAATTCCGCCTCAGTACGGAGGCCAAAAATGGCGACAATTAAACTGCAGCGAACAATTCCCGGATTAGATGATGTTGATAGCAGTAATGTTTTCTGATAGGGCAGTATAAGTAAAGTTCCTTTTGATGTGCATGAAGGAGACAATGCATCACTATGTCTGATGATTCACAGACGTGATATTTGGACGATTTATTTAGATTAATGGATGCCCTCACCTAACGACTCGAGCACTACGCTTTCACAGAACATTAACACTACCAGAACACAGTTCCCAAGGGAAAGGTCCTTATAAAATAAAATTACAACTGTCAGGATCATAAACCTAAAGCTGTTATGATTAAAATAGTAAAAATATTATATAAAGTGGTAATTTAAGTGTACAAATTTACATAGAATATTGTCACGATCAAAGTGAGCAATTCTTATTTGGCGATAAATTTCATGGACATTGTTGTGAATCATTTTTGTTAGGAATATGTTTAAATCTAATTGTTTTTCATAACACCGATAGCTAAATACCATAAAATGGAGTTTAAAACCATCTGATTAATTTGCTTCTAGCATACAACCTAATTGTAGTATGAGATAAATGACTCTTAGTATCGCCATTCTCGTGAAATATCTATTTGCGGATTAACTCACGAGAAAAATGTGTAGTAAGCAACCAAATATAAAAATTATATCTGTATTAGCTGATTATAAATAAACATGACCTAATAATCTGAACATTGAACCTATACAATTTGGTAATATACTATAAAGTAACACACTCCTAGGAGTAAACGGTGGTGTTAGGGGCCAAAAAGTTGGAATCAAAATAGGTCTAAAGTACTGTTGAACAAACTGGGAGATAAAAAATAAATAAAATAAGCATCCTTAATGACTAAGAGGTCTGAAATAAGAATATTATTGAGCAGTGCTTTATCGATCCATTTGGTAACGCCATCAGTCGTCATGCATGACGTCATAATTACGCCACTTCAATATATTCATATATCCCCAGTAAGTGGTATGGTTGTCAACGATTGATAAACAAGTCAACAACATCATATGAATTAAATAGCAATAGATTTCAGACATATTGATAATAGAATTGTAGTTTATATCTATAGTCGACATCAACATGTAATCAACGGGCTGTTGGTTTGATATATACTCCCAATAAAAGGCTATGCAATGCCGCCTCAACCTCCGATATGACGGATTACCAAAACAGGTTTATACCAAGAAGATATCGTACATTAAATAACAGCATGATACTCTATATAAACCTGAGAACTCGTTTTCTAAGCCTTAGAGTGTTAAATAGATTCTGACATTTTAATCGGTAATCTTACATCCTGTACTTACTACTGATATAAGTAATGCTACTGAACTATCTCAATTTATTAAAAGAATAACATTCATATTTACTTAACCTTTCATTAATCCATAATGTAATTATTAAGTTTCAATGGTGCAATCACGTGTGGGTTTGTATGTAACATTCATCTTTCGAGCTACAAAGTGGTAGACTTTACAGGTAGATTATTAAGTTATCTTTTTGAGTTGTGGCATGGTTCATTATATACATACTTTACATGTCATTTAATTTAGAATGACTAGTACTCTTCTATTTTTTTAATTCATTTTAAGGGGTTTTACGCAACTGCCTCTCTGTCTCAACATTGGTTCTAGACTATTTGGATTTCAACCTTTTTGGTCATTAGTATCACCGATAGATCCCAGAAGAATGAATCAGTATACTTCATTTATGGCTTACTGTGTTTATTATCATTTTATCTTATTGTGATAAGATTCACATATATATTTCTTTAAGTACAGCAGACAGAATATCCTTACATCCCAATACTACGTTAACGCGAATGAAATATATTTATAACCAATGACACGAACCGACTTAAAATGCCATACGGAGAGACAATTACCAGATAACATGGAGAGTGGACTCTCGGTACCACATGTGACACCCGTAAGGATGTATCCCGTTAAACCAACGAAGGAATGCTCGTCACCAGCGATCTCAAACAGAGTGAGCATGTCTTTATTCATGTCAAATACATTACTTCCAAAGCTGGAAGTCCTAATACTGAATTGTTTTTATCTTTTGAATCACTGATGGATCATAAGACACAAAAAAATATGATACTGCAAACGTTTCCTTATTTTAAAACTTTCTGCATCGCTTTAATAAGTTTTTGAAACAAATGCTTTCTTATTGCCAAGTTTGAATGATTAATTCTGTTTCTTAAGTGGGAACTACTGGTTAATAAATTGTTTAACAGGACTAATTCATCTTCAAAATCATAAGAGGCTATCAACAAACGGTAATGTGTAAACCGTTGCGTGTTTGATGCAATTTATTTCTATTTTCAAAACTTTGACAAAACAATTCAACAACGTCAAATGGCACAGACTTTATAATGATTTGATACATTCAAATAATTGAAAACAGGTGACCCCCATAGTTTTATCTCATTTACACGGATTAAGGGTATTTCGAAACTAGACCGTTCCTATCTTCATGAGCTGCATAATATCTGTTGATAAAAATGACATTAAGATTTTTTTTGGTATATTGTAGAATTGATCTGCAGAGCAAGGTAAGACTTTTGTATTTTATATTCTATGAATATCTTCATATTCTATAACCAGACACTGCTGATAAAGTCTTTGTTTCTGTTTTTCATGATTAATGCACACACTTTACCCATTATTTGAAATTAACCAGTTTTTTCTTAATTAATGGTCTTGCGAAACTCTTCGTTCGTTTCAATAGTAGCTTACGCCAATTTTGATTCGTCCCCTACGTTTATTGTAACCTTGAAGGCCACATATACACACCATGTCCTTCTATTTCTGTAATAGTTTAGACAATTTCGATTTCCAACGTTTTTGTCCTTGGCATCTCCGATTGGTCCTAGAAGGACGAAAAGGTTGTATGATGCATTGTATTTGTCTTTGGAGTACTGCATCAAAATGAGTCAAACACGTTTTGACCCAGGAGTGTTACGCCCTTAGTTTTATAACCGAACACACATAACACATTTGAAATGAATACGTAGAGGCTAAGAGGGGCCTGCCTGATATAGAGCACACCGAATGGCATTAGGAACTTAAATTAAGTTTTCAAAATCTATTTTTATCATTGTTTCGAAAGGTCACTCACAAGTTTAGTTTAAACATATTTTATTGCAATATAATTACATAAGGATTGGACACAAGTTATTGTAACTTATAAACGCCCTTTCCATAATGGTTTACAACATATCAATATATCAATATAATGCAATTTCTAATAATACATAAATTAATTTACAACAAACACATTCTTGAGAGAGAGAGAGAGAGAGAGAGAGAGAGAG